GTTCGGACAGGCTTTGGTCCTCGAGGCATGGCACTTGGCTCTTGGGCACATCCGGCTCTCCAAGGGCTCCTCGATATGTTGGATGAGGCCTCTGCGGATGCAACGGGCTGTACTGACTGTCGGAATCTCAAACCCACAAAGTCTCACCCTCCTTGCAAGCAAGGCACTCACCAAGGCCTGCTTCAGTGGGGACTTCGCCTTCAACTCCTCAAGCTTCCTGCCGGCCCCCCAAAAGTTGCCCGGTGTGACTGCGGTGTCTGCCGGGGTCATTTTTCTTCGACAAGCGGCTGTTGACGCGCGAATTGCAGCTTCTCCGCCTGGATGGGGGGAGGCCGCAGCCCGTCACGCCGAGTCCCCTGAAGCTCACTAAAGGAGCATTCTCGTCACGAAGACACCCGGTAACTTCCGCGGAACCGGTTTGGTCTTCACATGGAGCATAGATGGCCAGATCACGCCGATTGCAAGGAGATTCGTCATAAGCAACGGCATTCCAAGTCTGCTTTGAAATCAAGCTGCACTTTTTTCATTTTCGACTCCAGGTCTGCACAGGTCTTGAGATTCCCACTCCATTGGCCATGCTTGCATCTGGCTAAGATACAACTGAGCAAGATCCTAAAAGTTCGGAACAACTACCAGCATTTGGTTTCCAGCCACAGGTCTGCCTGCACCTCCGCCGGAGTTTTCTGATCTCTTCTTCGCTGGGCCTTCTCCCTTGCTTGCAAGTTGAGATTTAACTCGGGTGCTCATTTGGTGAAAAAACGCACCATCATGTAATGCGAAAGAAAGTGTGGCCGAGAAACATCTGCTTCTGTGCTTTCTGCTGAAACCTTAGAGAGAAGCACCCGCAGCAATGTTTGAGAATTGTGTATCAAACATCGGAATTTATATAAAAAACAGGCTACCAGCTACTCAATACGAAGTTCACATGTGTAGGCGACCTTGGTGGGAATGAAGCAAAATCGCGGTCCGCTTATCGCAACTAAGCATCTGTGACTTCTTGAGGTTGCACGGCGGGTCGCCCTCGTAGCCATTGGCTTTCCAACATGTATCGCACCCATCAGCATACTCCTCAGACGGCACAAATCAGCCACAAGCTGTTGTCCTGGCACACTCCATGAGTCTCCGTACAGCTGGGAGACACCGCCAGAGAGCAGGAGGGTGGTGATCACGCCACCACCTTGAAAGCTTCTGACCGCGGTTTTAGAGCTAAGCATGTTGTCGGCTCGAGAACGCCAAGGGTCAAACAATCGGCGCAGATCTGCTTCTTCTGTCCGGTGGAACCTCTTCTGCCTCCCGTCGCCTCTCAATCGTTCCCGCTACGAAACCTGCCGTGCCTTCAAGAAGCCAACCCTGGTGCCTTGATGAGCGCCGCTAAAGCCTTCTCGTCAAGCTGGTCATCGTCCCCAGCTGTTGCCAATGGGGCTTCGGCCATCTGGCCAGCCGGGCCGCAGCATGCGAGTTTCTTGAATGAGTATGTTGAAAGGCGGTCAAATATTCTGAATGCTGCTACAACCAAGTTGCATGTAAGCTCTGATGCGTGCACGTTCTGACTCTATTGGCTCAGGCGGTAACGCATCGAAGGTAGCATCAACAGCCACGAGACAGTTCTCACTGCACATGGCAAAAACATCCGGGGCACGGGGTGCGAGCGCCGTGGCTGCCTGGGAAGTCTCTGGCGCAGGCTTTGAACGTTGCCGGAAAACAGGCCCCTGCCAAGCCACAGTGTTGGTGCGCCCGGGACGGAAATTGGGCGCTTCTCCTGAAGCTGTGTGGCAGAACAGCTCAAGTGGGTTATGGAACCACCCACGCCCCGCTAGGTTTAAACCTCCAGCCAAGATCCAGTACCCTGAAAGATGACCACGCAAACGAGTAGAATCATGAATGGAAAAAGGTTGTGCGCACATGTTCTGAAGTTTACACATGCGGCTGGAGACACTGAGTCCTGTGTCAGCAGCTGACTGAAGTCTGCAGAAGTGCGATTGTAGTCTTTCAGGTCTTTGAAGAGCTCCTTCGTTCTGGCACGACTCGTACTCAAATCAACCGGAACAGCCTTCAACAGAGCCTCAAAGTGCTGATAACCGCAATAACCTCGGTGACAAAGCCAGAAACGAACTCTGACAGCCTTGGCCTGAGCAGCACACCCCACGACGAGGCCTGCGGGAAGGGAATGGAGGGCACGTCCTGGAAAGAAAGCGAGAGGAAGAAGCGAAGGCAGTCATCCATGCTCTGCTCGACTTCTCTCGACTTCTCGCTCCCACGCAGTCCCGCAGTCCCCGCCTCGCCGCTGAGCCAGGAGCAGAAATCAGCCAGCCGGATACCAGAAACACGCTCGCATTGGCCCTGTCCATTCGAGCAGATGCAAAGCAAGAACGAATTTTCACAAAACTGTGCAGACATGGCCAGTTGCCTCCCAAGGTGTTCTTTGCACCTTGGGCAAGCAAGGGCTCCGCCGCCAAGGATTGCGCCGCAAAGTTCCAAGGCCGACTCCGAGGAGCGTGGGCCAATTCGCACAGAGACCAAAGAATCTCCGTGCCTTTCGCCATGCTGCGCGATGCTCACGAGGCGATGGGACGGCTCTCGAATCCGAGCGTCAAGCTCCTCCTTCAAGGCCTCTCTGCAAACCGCATTGCTTCGCGTCACAGCTTGGCAGCCTCTTGAAACTCTGAGAAGCCATGTCCGAACCTGCAGATTGGCCCAACGCAGCGCTGGCCAACTGCATGCCCTGGCTCTCGAAAGGCACAGAAGTCCAGATGGCAAGTCTGATAAGGTGGCAACTCCGAAAGCTCTTGCTTTCCATGTGCTTCATGGGGTCAGACTATGGACAAGACTTGGTGCGGTGGCTGCACGCCGTTACACCAAGTGCCTCAACAAACACCTTGACTCCGGGAACGGCCAGGATCCCACTTATCGACAGTGAATCGTCGGCAGGCATGGCATCACTGTTTGAGCACTCATGATCTGTGCTCAATACTGTGGTGCATTTTTGCAGAAAGTGAGCTGCACGTTACACGGGAAATCCATGATTTATTACATGTTTAGCACCTCGGGATCTGTTGAGAACTCCAACCGAGACTGCTGTGATCAAGAAAGAACATCTGGTCAGGGAGCTGAGGCGATCGTGCCCTGCGTTTGTTTATATCAGGACGAAATTTTAGTGCAGAACACTGAGACCCGGCATTTCGCAAGAGTTGGATTGCGAGCCCACTGATCATCAGAAATCCATCAGCTGACTGGCTGACTGGCTCTCTGACTGAGTGAGTGAGTGACTGACTGACTGAGTGACTGACTGACTGAGTGACTGGGTGAGCGAGCGAGCGAGCGAGCGAGTGAGTGAGTGACTGACTGAGTGACTGAGTGACTGAGTGGCTGACTGAGTGACTGACTTAGCGAGCGAGCAAGCGAGCGAGGGAGTGACTGACTGGCTGGCTGGCTGGCTGACGGAGGGAGGGAGGGCGGGCGTGTTTCTCATTCCCTGATTTCGCTTGGTGAGATTTATAATTGTTTATACTGGCTACCCAAGCGAGTGGTGAGCTGCGGAGGAAGCCCGGCACATGATCTCGAGGCCGCTCGATTTCAGGGGGTGCCTTTGGAGGACCGGCCGCTAGCAAAAGCCACTAACTGCAATGCCCTATGACTAACGCTCACTCTCTGCATGGTCAGGGCAACCGGTCGGCAGTTCAGAACGCGTTTGAGAGACTTACTTTGCATGCCGGCCGAGTTGCACATGCTGCACAAGTGAAACGCAATCAAATCTCGGATTTCATCGCTCATGCATCAATGCCGGCAAGGCGGAGGAGGGCACCTGCAGGCGAGTCGAGCTCAAAAGCTACCCGGTTCGAAGGTTGTCTGGGCGCAGTACCGGCATTCATCTTGGTGATCATGGCGTAGAGCGAGGGGTCCACCTGCTGCAGTTGCCGCGTTCTTTCAACAGGGCTGTGAAGTCTGTGAAAACCAATCACTGAGGCGGTGCCTGATCTAAATTATCTGCAGACTGGTGGTAGTGGGGGTAGCCCTCGTCATCCCCATGGATAGAAAGAACCTGCGCGCTGTTGCGTCGGAGATGCAGACGGAATGCCAAGCTGCAAAAATGCACTCAACGCCAGATGCAGGCAAGCTGCACTGTGGATGCCTTTCTGCAAGAAACTGATGTGATCAGATCCGAAAGGATTGTTACTGTGCCTCGGTGCAGCATCTGGCGCATGCGATAGAGTATCTGGCTTATCGAGACCACAAACTTCGTAAGTTTCCAAAGTGAAGCAAAGTGGGTTTACTTTGCATCCGAGCGACGTTACTTTCAAGCTCTTTCCATTGTGTGCCTGGCTGGCACCCGCGAGGTGGTCGAGCACATCTTTAGCCCAATCATACGACCTCGTGTTCCACTGCAAGTAGTGTCAGATGGCGCTGGCATGCTGATCAGACACCACCCGAGACAGAAAGGAGGCCCATGATGCATCTAATGCGTGCAGGTAGCTCAAGGTTGACCACCGGGCCTGTGCGCAGCACATTTCAGCACTCGATCATTTTCGAATCCGGACGCAAAACCGCCACCTGTGCTCGCTTTTATGTTCGTGCTGCGCCATGCAATCTCATCCATGACGAGGGCCTGAACGCAAGCAATGATGCAATGAGGGCAGTCATTCGTTCAAAGTGCCGACGGCCTGATGCTTGGCCTTGTTTCGGGAACCCTTCCCCCGAGTGTTGGCCTTCCAGCAACGGGCTCAAGAAACTGCAGCGTACAGATCGTCATTCGCAGAACCACTCAGCCTCTAAGAAAGAAGAGGCCGGCTCCTCGCCACAAAGCCTTGACAACCCGGCATCGCAAGCGTCACAAGCATATCCTTGCTCAGTCTGCAGTGTCACAGGGTGCCTGGTGAAGAGTTGCTGGCTGAAGTTCGAGCCGGCCTGCAGGCGCTTTGTGCGCGGCTCCAAACTGCGTGAGTGCTTCTTTCTCGCAGTGGCCTCTGCGAAGCTGGTGCCTGCTGATGACTTCATGAGACGATTGGCATACTCCTGCCGGGCTGGCAGGGCCTTGCACACGTTGTTCCGGCAGCTTCACACGAGGGTCCTCGGAGCCAAGCAGTCCAGGCTCTTCGGCGGCGAAAGCCGCGAAGAAAATACTCTTTTGAGGCTTGACCTGGTGCAGCGAGAAGCTGCTGTCCGCTATCAGGGATCAGAACAAAGACCCTGCCTTGCAGCAGGAGCTGGTCGCTCTTTTTAAGCACGCACAGATCAGCATGATGCAGAGGGAAGATTCATCCGCTCCGAAGGCGTCAGGCCCCAAAAGTCGGATGCTAGAGCTAGGGCCGCTAAAACGGGCTTCACATGATCTCACCCTCTGCATCGTCCTGAACCCCGATGTGCAAGCAACATGGTGACGAGTTTCTCTTTCATTGTGGAGTCCACTGACATGAACTTCTGCCATGCATCATTATCACTGATGATGCCAGCGTCGCGAGCTTCTTTGGCCAGCTTTGGAGGAAGCCCACCTGAAGAAGGAATATGTTGGCACATGCAGAGCAACTCGATATATCTCCCTTGTTCATGTACCATCATGTACCCCGCCTCCTTTCCGGGCTTCGTCGACCCGAGCTACAAGCTCTGCGAGCTTTACAAAGCTGGGGAAGCCAGGAGAGTCCTAGCATCGAGATGCTTGTTTCAAGCACGACACTGAGCGTCCACTGCACTGCTCAGGCCAAGCGGCAACCACCCTGAGGGCACGAATTTCGCTTAATGGCACATCTGTGTAGACGAAAGGATCCACATCTGACACATTTTCTCCATGCCTAAGTCTGACAAGCATCTCGCGGAGGTATGGGACAGAAGCCTTGCTTTTACCATTGGCTTTGCACCGGAATTTAAGCCAAGATTCTGCACGTGCAGACACACTCCGAACTCATCAGGCCTCAGGGTCGAAGCACGCACAGAATCTGCTGTGTTGAACCACATGCAGGTAGGGGACATGAGGGCAATGCTGCGAGAACCACGTTGCTCCTTGCACTTGCAGGAGCACGAGCTCTCGGCAGACTAAAGCTGGATACAGGGAAGCAGCAGCCGATCAACAGCCCGGGGTCCATCAACTCCATGCACCAGTCGTAGTCTTCCCCGAGGTTTTTGTCTTGAAAGGGATGCTTCAGGCCGATCTCTCTATTGTAGATCAGCGTGAAGCCAAACCTCAGGTCGCTGGGTTGCTCCAGGAATTTACAATCACTCGCTTGGCCGCTCTGCGAGAAGAGCTGGTAGGCATGTTGACATTGATTGCCAGTGTCGCCGGCAGACAGAGTGAAGAATCCGTCAGCAGTCTCTGATCAGCTTGTCCCACGCGAGAGGAGAACAAACAATTGTGGTGAGAATTGTGAGGGCTTCATCGCTGACAGGCCAGGGGTGCCGACAAACGCACTGAAACCTACTGGGTTCACGATGGTCCATGCTCTTTCCATCTTGGAGTGTCGTGACTGAAAATCCGGCGACAACAAGAAACATGCGGGCCACGTGTCAAGTGCTCGGGCCCTTGCGAATAGAGCCCCATCTTGACAGCAGGCGTTTTTCTGCTCATGTGACCTGCGGATCGGAGATGTCTATATGTCGTGGTGAAATCCTGGCCAAGGCAAGTGCGGGCCATCCGAGCCCAGGACGCTTGCGCCCAAGCCGAGCGGCATCACAAAATCCGAAGGCGCCAGCCTTCACAGCACGCAGCCCTGCCGCGAAACACATGAAATGGGGGACCTTTTGCACTCCAGAGCCTCGGCATTTCCCACGTACCAACTCGAGAGCTTCAGAGCCGACGCACCATCAAAGTGAGACATCCTGCCAAGAGCCAAGAGTGAAGCGCACCGCTCTCTCCGCTCGTAACTGCACGGGCCTCGTTGCCATGAATGCCAAATATCCTGAGACACCCGCAGTGCAGTTCGGATAATGCTACGTCCAAAGCAGGCTGCCTGGAGCATAGAGGTCATCGTCATCGAGGTGGGCTACAAGCTCGCCGCTTGCAGCATGAACACCAATATTCCTGGCACTTCCGGGACTTGGCTGCTGGTCGCATAAATCTCCACAGCTCCTAATTCCCACCCGCCAGATTTCAGGCATCGCAAGATGGAGGTGGCCCCGGGTTTTGCGCTCATGTCATAATCAAAAAACACCTGCCGAACTGTCGCCGGCTGAACTTATTAGTCAGGAACAAAGAGGGGTTAGTGAGGAGAAGGCCGAGAGCCGGATAAGGCCAGACACAGCTAGAAGAAAATCCCACAGCTGAGGCTCTGGGGAGCTGAGGCGAAGGGTCTTCCAAGCTGGAAAAAAGCGATCTCAGTGGGCCCAAGGCATTGTAAAAGGGCTGAGAAGACTCCTGTCAGCATCTTTCAGCATTCTCGGCGGAGAGCGCGAACCCAGCCGCGAGCCCAAGTCAGAGCCAAGTCCCAAGTCCGAACTGAGGCGGGACGTGCCGACGCTGCCACTCGCACTCATCACAACTCAAAACTTATGTGGAGATCCGGTATTGCGACACCGCAGCTGAGGCGGAGAGATCCGTGTCGCCGTCGCATGTCGCATCTCTCTGTGTATCGGAGCCATTCTCGAATTCTCGGGCCAGGAATGCACTGTGGAGCCTCCTACCAAGCACTGCTTTTTCAGTTAGGAAGTGCCAGAGAATGGATGAAGCTACAAACGGTCAGAGAAGGCTTGATTGTTCCCAGGTTGTGGGTTTGCCTCCAGACCGGAGCCACCAAGGAACTTTCACGGGAAACATGGTGGATTCTTAAGGCTGCTTCCTGGACTCAGAAATGGACAGAGGTCGCAAGAAGAGCATGGGCACTCGCCGGAAAAGGCAACATGGGAGTGCCCGGTGCGCTGCTCCAATTGAGCCCTCAGGATTTTTCTTCAAGCCCCACTTAAGTCGGAGCGAGGTCCTCCGTGGAAGACGTGGAAACAGGGTTACACGTCAGAGTCTTCACAGCAGTCTCTCAAAAGGCTCGCAGCTCACTCGCAGCTCTTCGGCCTCTTCACCCCAATCGACAAGTCGTCACCGGGAAGCCGCTGCAAACCTTGGAAAGGTCGGGTGACACCGGGCAAAAAAACAAAGGACAACTGACTTCACAGGACTGCAGGTCAGAGCGGCTGATGACCTTCATGTTGCTGTTCCATGCAGCTTTGCCCGACAGGAATGAACTTGGCTCATCTTCGTAGGTCTCCACGACAATCAACTCCTGCGGATCAGTCTCATGTCGCAATACTTCAAGACATTGAAGCGTATTTACCATACACGCGCATACGGCATCCTTGTCGTCCCAAACTTGACACTGGAAGTTCCAGAAAAGCAGTTCGTGAAAACGATGCCTCTCCTGAGAGGTGCTATGGACGCGTAGCTGTGCACTACCGTCAATCCTTCCGTTCTTTTCTGTGTGACGGCCTGGCCCTGGCTTTCAGATCAAGCCTCTCCCGTAGTAACAGTGATCACTGAGACTCGACCAGGTTGACTTTCCTTGGTGATAGCTGACAGACGGATGGGCAAGCCCGCAAACTTACGCTTACAAAAACACGTCGAGCAATTCTAGAACTCTGCTGGTCGGCCTTGCCGCGACAATATTGCCAGTTGCCCGCAGCTGGTTCTCTTGGGTGGAAATCACCTCAACTGCTCCCAACTATGTGGAGTTGTGTCCGGGTCGCAAGAGCCAAGAGCACAGGCAGCCATGAGACCGTCCGTGTAAAACCACAAATCGCATTCACGCTCGTCCCAGTCGAGAGCTTCCTGTCTGCTCGCTTTTGCATGAGCATTTGCCGCTAGAACACGTGCCGGTCCTCAGGTAGGTGCACACAGCGCTTCCTCCCTGTGCGCTGGCAAAACCGGTCAGCTTGCTCCAGGAGGGACATCCGTCACGGACCATCGACCATCGGCTCTTTGAGCCACTGAAATGCGGCGTCCGCAGCGCAGACATGCAAACATGCAGACACGCAGCACATAAGCCGGATCCCAGAACCCCACAGAGACACTCCCCACACGCCTTGGCATCCGCCAGCGCCTTGGCAATTGTGAGCACCTGGGTGCGCAGCACTGAAGTTTTGTCTAGGACATCTTCAAACGTCCAAGTCGGATGATCTGAATGCGCCGCCGCAGCGGCACCACTGCCGTTGTCCACAGCGCCAGGTGCTAGGCCCTGTCGACTGGATCCGCATGTCGTGAACACACTTTCTTCCGGCTCCTATGAAGCGGTGTTAAAAGCGAGCTCAATCGGCCTCGAAGGGTCGTGAGTCGTAGTGTCCTCCTAGAGTCACGGAGCCCGCGCCGGCATCGCTACCCTGGCCACAAGCACTGCGTGCGAGCAAGATCGCGCAGTCGTAGCTGCCTGAAGACTCGCGACCACGGAGGTTTGCTCTCCAAACTGCTGCTTGCACACAGAGTACCCCATCTCCTGGCAGCACTCGGCTTGACATGGCTTGACGTGCGGAACCAACATCGCATAGGCATTGCATCGCCTTGAACTTCTTCTCAAGAAAGCTAACTGAATTGGCAGACGCCGTTGGATTCGAGTAGCTCCTCAGTGTGACATTCCACAGCCCGCTCGTGCAGGCCGGTGGTCGACAATTCTTCGGATCCTGAGCCCTTCCATTAGATTATTATAGGGCATGTTAGTGCGCATGCAGGCGTCCGAGTCTGGGTGGAGCCATCGCCCAGAGCCACCAGCTCCTTCACTTCGGCTTGCGTTACTGAGGCCCTTGTTCGTTGAAACCGACTCCTTGAGCTGGCGCATGGCCGAGCTCGGCGTAATGGAGTCGACTGCCTCTGCTATACAGCGGCTTCTGCGTAGTGCCGTGGGCCATCGTAGCTTGGCTGACGGGAGCGCCTGCTTTTCCACGCGCTCACCAGCCGAAGACAAGCCGGAGCTGTAATCCTGCCGAGGCCCAGCAGGTCAAGACAGCATCCCTGGCGCGGCTGCATCATGCTCGTGCCTTCGGCACATCGTAGGCCCTGACATGTAGCTCATTGTATCCGAAACCGAAAAGCTTCCAGTACGAGCTGAGATGCGGGAAAAGCCGTGCATCTGAAAGCACCTGCAAGGAAGGCAACGACCGCTCCGAGGCGGAGGCGGGGGGGGCTCGGCTCCGGGGCTCCGGGGCTCCGGCATCCTGATGGTTCAGCTGCACCTCCAGAGAGAGGAGCCGCTCTCCCCCCCAAATTTGGGTTATGCCCCCCACGTCTGGGATTTTCTCTTCAAGCACGGCACCAGTGCGCTGACGGAATCCCGGCGTCCAGCCACCTTTGGCAGCTGCGTGGCCAGAGAGTCCTTGCCCTGTGCCAAAACAAGAGAGCAAGAGAATCACTACCCTCTAGAAACACAGAGCTGGCCGGGCCTCCGGAAGGTGGAAGATGTGCAAGCGGCCTGCGCCGCCGACACGCTTCTCGTGGAGTTCGTCTGTCAACGCTCCATGCGAACCTGGGCGAAGACAGCGAGCACACGCAAATCGCGAAATGCCAAAGACTGAAGTTCCAGACGGCTGACCTTTCGATCTAACACGAGCCTGCAGGACCCGGGGGTCGCACCGTAGGCATAGTAGTAATCCCCAACATTGGAGCTAAGGCCACTGTCAGTGGCTGGAGCGTGCACAAGGTGATCACCCACCTAGCTTCGTTGATCCGCAAATGCTGTGCTGTGGGCTATGCACACTTTCTTCGCTCCACTGCCTTGGCCCACCATGTGCCCTCGCCCAGCGATGAAGCAGCAGTAGGGTGAAGCCGCGGCAGCTGTGCAGCACTCGCAACCGATGCTAGCAGCAGCACTCGCTGGCAAAGGACGGACATGGAAGACCTTGGCATTGCAAGCTGCCGCTTGTAGTTTGCAAACTGCGGTAGTTGATGCCGTTAAGCCGCGGCACGGCAGAGGAGATCAGACTAGACCGTGGAGTCCGGTAATCGCTTCCTCGGAATCGCTGCAGTGCAAAGTCTGTGCTCCTTCGTACTCCTTGCACCTCTTAGCAACAGCTGGGGATGCAGGCGAGAACGTGATGGTATGGACACGTGCGGTGCCCGCTTGAGCCACGTGACTCCCCTACAAGCGAGAAACCAAGAACCTGCAATTGTTTGTTCTGCAAGGAATTACATCAGAAAGATCCTGGGAACTACCCTGCGGGTGACTCTCTACATGCATCATCAGCCGGCATGCAACGGGTCAGAAACACAAGCGATGCTCCTGCCTCAAGGCCCCTTTAAGAACCAAAGGTTCCTTGAGCTCGGCCAGAGGCATCGGGCCTTAACAGATCTGAAAGCAATCCGTAGAGCACTTCACTTTTCTGCATTACACTCTCCGTTGGATCTCAAGACATCTCTCACGAGCTTTTGTTGCAAGGGGTTCGGGGCACTGTGCTGCAACAGGTCAGGAAGGCTGCGAATTGCAACTCTTGATACCCTAGCTTAGTCACTTACTCTCTAGCTTTTCCATAGGAGTTTCTCGGACTGTCTGCACAGGCACAGAACGGTTGAGCTTGTGGGCAGGATGTCCGACGATGTCTCAAGCTCGTGGAACTTCGCGGTATGGAACTGCTTCGATTGAAACTTTCGCGTTTTAATTGGCACTGCCATTTAACTATTCGGGTTCACATTCAACCACTAAGCCTCCTGCAGCCACATGATCCATCAACTTCAACTGCTTGCTTGTATTCAAGCAACCGGTCACATGTGCTTCCACTCATCGCAACAATAGGAACCGAAGTAGCTTTCTGCAAAGGAAAATCGCCTGTTGAGTGGAGTCTGCAATTGGACATGTCATACTCTCGGAGACCTTGGACCTGTGCTTCGAGCAGGGCTGCGAGAGCTGCAGCTTCAGAAGCTATTCAATGCGCCCGGCCCAGTTGTGACACTGTCAGGTGCCTTTTTGTCACCACCGCGCCGACATGGGCTGCAGCAGAGAGAAAAGTTGAATGGTGGATCAGGAGCCGCTTACACTGACTAGCATGACAAAGGAAATACGACAACCTTCGCAGCTTGTTCTAAACGGTGTTGTGGGCTCGCACGGATAAGTTCCGTGAACAGCAGACTCCGGGCTACTACGTGGCCTGCGGACAGAGACCGGAATCAGGGCCATCCTCCAGAGACCCTGATCTAGCCTCATATGACCCAAAACGGAAAGCAACTGGGAACCTCGTTTGGGGCACCATGCATGGCAGATGAAACAATCACGTCTTGTGCACAGAAGGAAAACTTGTCGAGATTTGGAGCAAGGGGCTCTCAGAAAGCCGTGCCTGGGCCAAGTCGTTCTCTGCGCACTCATCTGACAATGCGCATCTCCCACCTGCGAGGCCTTTGTGGTCTCCGTAGGACTCAGTCCTGGCCTTCTTGGCCGAAGGCATGTTGCCGCCTGTGCTACGTGTTGACACAGAGAAAGCATTGGGCCAGGCTTTCGAGGCCCCCGACCCTCCCTGTCCGCAAAGCGTGTGGCGAGGCCATCGCAGTTGATACCCGTCATTGCCTCTGCCAAGCTCAGTGGCGTCTGGCCGGCTTCCGTGTTCGTATGGCCTCTCCCAGATCCTCCGAGACCTCGGCCACCACCTGCTTGCATTGCTGTTCCGTCATGTTCCCTCGGACCCTCAAAAACAGATTGCCCCAGCACCTGAGCATCGTTGTAGTGCGTGACGGCCTGGCTTCGTGATGTCGACTGCAATCAAGCTAACGTTGTGACTCTACTTCAACCCGCCTTCACGATGGCCCGGGCACGCTTGGCGGGATCGGACGACTTGAAGATGCCACTACCCACCTCAGAACATGAGACCAATTGCTGGCACGGCTTGCGCAAGGAGGAATCAGGTAGAAATGCAGAGATGGCTATGTTCGTTGCAAGCCTGGCAGGGCGGGTCTGCCCTGAACAACTGCACAAGTCGGCGCATGCTCCAGAAATACCCTCGGCTTCCAACGAACACGCCATCGACACCAAGCTGCATGCCTCATCGTGGGTACGCACTGTGAGTGAGATCCTAGTGGGTCGTAGCACGAGCGAACGCCAGGGTGCACAAGGCAGCATCTGCTGGAGTGGCAACCCCACCGGCCGCGAAGTTCACAACCTGGGCTGCTGATCGAAAGTCAGCTTCAATCTTAGACTCCTCGTGCCCAACACTTACACGAGGCGTTTGCTGGCAGTTTTCCAGTTTTCTTGACCTGCAACAAAGGGAACGTGTTCTGTCGAGAGTGTTCGTAAGACGATGACCAGGCCTGCTGCAGAAGGTCGATGGGAGCACCAATCTCCTGCGTCGACACCGAGAAAGGACTTGTGACTTCTTTGGCGCATCTCGAGGGTTACGACCGATGTTGCAAACTAAGGTGCCTGAGGGCTTCCCACATGTCTCATTCCGGAATGTGTGCAGTCGCTGAAGTTGATGTTGGTTCACACGTCAGCGAGACAACATCATCTGCGAATCTGTGTCAACACAATTTTGGAGGATGTGGCACGTTGCCTCTTACGACACGACTGTCGACGAGAAGAGCACGATTTCACTGTGTCTCCTACTCGAGCTGTACAAACCGTCTCGGAGGAAAGGCTTGTGTTCGTCCTAGTCGACGTCCTTAGTCCTACCTTTGCAAGAGCAGGAAGAAACTCTTTCATGATACCTGCCTGTGCCCCAAGGAATCTGTTGCATTACATAGCTGGGAATCTCTAGATCGCGTGGGACTGCTATTTGTGGCCCATGAACTGCTCCACAGATTCAGAAGATCTCAGAAGCATCTGTGCAAAAAGGATGGGATGAGAGTCTCTGAGATGTCCCAGGCTCACCTTGAGATCACGAAAGGAGCTTGAGATTCTATGGCAGATAGCACTCCAGCATTGCATGGCCTGGTGGATCTTTCTTTGCGATAACTTGTCGAGTTGTGGCTGAACTCACTTCGTGAACCACAGATCTGAATCATGCAATGAGCGTCTGTAAACCTCGATCTGTTGACCAGCTGGCAAGCAAACAAACGTTCGCGGGTGCACTTCCTAGCTGCCGAGTGGTTTGGCCGATGACGGTGATCTTGGACTTCCTTGCTCGACGAGACAACCCTTGAAATGTGTTTGACCTAGGAGAGACTGAGTGCTTCGGCAGAATCACGCCACATCAGTTTCGCACACAAGAGACGGGAAGACCTCCTTGCATCATGCACCTCAACCCACCCACCGCAATTGAATCATTGAAACAACAACAACAACAACAACAACAACCACGACGACGACGACGACGACGACGACGACGCCGCCAGCAGCAGCAGCAGCAGCAGCAACAACAACAACAACAACAACCACGACGACGACGACGCCGCCAGCAGCAGCAGCAGCAGCAGCAGCAACAACAACAACAACAACATACCCACAGAATTGTTCATTCGAAAAGAACCAACCCATGTTCCGCTGTGCTCCTTGGCGTAGGTGAAGAGCTCGTCGTCATCCATCATCTGCACCATCCGCATCTCCTGAAAAGGTAAGCATGTCTCAGTCCTCTCATAGTTACTAAACGCCATTCTCTGCAAGCCTGTGCTTCTCGTCTCCTGTTGCGTTGCCCAAAGGCTTGCAGGGTGTTTGTCTATGGATCCTTCGGCTCATACTTTCCCTTCTCTTTCTTCTCGAGTTGGCCGGGGTGCCGGGGTGGGAAAGTCTCTCCAGTTGCCAGCGAAAGCATCGCGGTTTGCCGCAAAAAGCGCTCCACATCTCGTCAGTTGCCTGTGTCAGGGCTAACACACCTCCAGTTCGGATACATGGCTTCTCGAGAGGTGTGTCAGACAGAACATGCGCCAAGACTAGTACTGTGTTACAGATCTTTCAAAGCGAGTCCTCCTAATCGAGCAAGCTACGGAGCAGCAAAAGCTGAGCCACATGGAGACATTTTCGGGATTGCATCCGCAGACGTCCCTGCATTGAGACGAAAGCACGGGGTCTGCGAAGAGCGGTTTCGGCGCCATCAGGGGCCGGAAGCGGCAATCCGCTCTGTCAGCGACTCTTGAAGCTTCTAAGGGTCGGATCGACGTGTCAAGGAAGAGTTGTCTCGCATTTTTGCTGCATCTGTCGGTGTCACTTGTTTGTTGCTTCGCATCAGGCCGAAGCGCACGGCGGTTCTTCTCCCGTGACAGTGTTGCCCGAAATGGAAGCATTGGAAAGGTTCGGTCCATGGCTCCCGCTGCTGACGCTCAATACTCTTGCCCATACTGACATCGACATCGTGCATCCAAGTGCTCACGTTTACCTGGACCTAGGTCACATCACAACAAAACTATCGGAAATTATTCAAGACTCCCGTAACTTAGCTCGGTCACTGTTCCGAAGGAAGAGAAAAGGGATCTTTTTGATGGGCTCTTTTTTGCATCTTTGAGAAATCCACGGCAGAAGAAATGAGAAGGACACCTCGTATGTAGCATGAACCAAGTCTTGAGCATTTCTTTAGAGTGGTGTCCTTGTGCAGCGTGCGGATGTGGCGCACCGCCTCCACGACGTCGCCGGTTCCGGCCTCGCCCTTCGTGCGGATCATGCTGGCGCCTGAAGCCGCTCCGCTACAATCGCGGAGGCCCCCTAAACCCCCCAATACCCCCCGCAACCTTCGGCGATGCGACGCAGCGCCTCGCCCAAGTTTCGGCAGCCGCACCTCAGGCTTTCCGAGCCTCCCACGCCGAAGAAGCCCGGATGCTTAGTGCCCTGCACGAAAGGCACCTTGAACCTCAGTGTGAGATGTGCCAGATTTGGAAACACAAAGGGGTCGCAAGCTTCTGAACAAGGTCTGACGAAGTTCAAGGGACCACGTTGAGACTTTGTCGATGCACTCTTCCAACAACTAGAAGACATGTGGCCCGAA